TTCATAACATGACAAGCCCTTAAAAGTTGAGAATCGCTGCTTTGTATTGAGGCCAAACTTGTTCCAGGTAAATAATCGGTGAGAATCTGAGGTCAATGCGATGACTCACCAGCAGCCTGTTGTTGCTGAACAGGGAAGTTCAGGTTAGGCACTTTGCATGTGGCAGATACCTTTCTCAGGAAATTGGGCGCGGGACGAGTTGTGAAAGGATGTTTTTCTTTTTACACCCAACGTTTGGCAAGTTGAGAGGAGGGTAGATGGGTTCGGGAGAGGTCAAAAAGAGAGCTCGCGGGAGTTGAAAGTTCTATTCTTGTGCCCTGCGAGCCAGACGAGGATCTCCCTCCTTTTGAGGCACGTCCCTTACCTTTCACCCACAATACGCGTATGACGTCAATGGCGGCAGCCAAAAGTAGCCCATTTGAGAAAGACAGGTCATGTGATTGCGCAGTAGGTTCAGTTTTTGGAGCATAAAGGGCGTACGTGTAATGAGATACGATACCTTGTCCACAGAAATAAATGTGAACAGCAGCAACGTATGTAGCAGGGAACGCCGTAGGAGCGGCACAGAAATGTTTTAAAATTCAAAACTACAAACTTCCGCTTCGAAGTAATCTCCTATGCAGTCGAATGCACTGGCACCCTTCTCTCCCACTCCTGGAAGGATTCTTGCGGGATCCACCACAGCTCTGTTCGTCTAGGCCAGGAAGTGTCAGATGCTCAGGGCGTGACGAGCATGCACGCCACGCTGAAGCATTTTGCAAACGACTAAATTGTGGTGTCCACGTGATCCTCAAATGTAACGACCCTACATGAAGGCCACTGTTCCCGTCTGTTCACAGTTCATTTTCTATCGATGAAGTGGTCATTTGTACCAGTTTATCAACAAAATCTTTAGATGAAGGTCAAAGAATCGGGTACTTGAGTGCCATGCCACAACCATACGAAAATGTAGCAACGGAGTAGAGCACAACATTCAACAATCTCCTTTGAACAAAAGGCTCTGCGGGAGCTAGCAGGACGGTTTGATTTCAAACATAACATTTTTAACTACTTTTGCACACGTTCAGTTTTGGGCTCGCATGTCACACTCCTGGGTGATGTTTTTGAGAACCACCCTTTTCACTTTGCCATTTCTTTTTTTTTTTTGGCAATGTTGGACAAACCAGCCAAGACAAAGAGGTGGGAAAACTTTCCCACGTCACATATCCATGTGTGACGTCCATTTACAGGGCCAGTAAAAAAAAAAAATGTACTAAATACTCTCTGTACTGCGTTATATTTACACAAACTCTGTGAAATGAGAAATACCTGACATGTTCTTTTACTCTATTCTTCATTATCAAATGATGGAACAACAATTTTTATGTGTTCCCCCACTTCAATAATTTATGTGGCACTGCCTCTTTTTTGAATCATGCTCACGCTTTTGACCCTCCGCTTTCTATGTGCATTGAGGAGGGAAGCATCTTTCATTTACAAGTTTATGTATTAATACATCACTGAATCACTATAATTGATGGGAGGACATTGCTTTTTTGCTATTTCCGTCAGGCTTTGTGACTGAGACGATCAAAACGCAACCGACAGGAGAAACCCCGCGGTGCGTCGCCAATATTCGAAAACACGACGCAGTCGGACGCCACCGGTGAAAACACGGTTGCTCATTTGTCGGCATTCATCCACAACATTTGCGGACACATCAGACGTCCTGAGCTGGGCTGCCCCCCCGACCCCCTCCATTGTCTAGAAATGTGATGTAAAATTCCATATTGTACCAAATATCAGGCATTCCTTTTTTCAGGATCCAATGTTTATGCAAATGCTGGCACCTCAGTGAGATGTGGGAACAAGAAGACCTTGCGTCGATCAACACAATGGACGGCCAAAGTCAAAGAGTCAGAAACCATGAAAGCATTTCCCGTCCATTGACCTATTGTCAGTCCGAGCCTGCCATGGTGTGGAATGAGATCAAAACAAGTCCTTTGTAATCGGATCCTCACCCAGCATCAAACAAACTCGACCAAAAAGAAAAAGAAAAAAAAAAAACAAGGTAAAAGGTCACAAAAATAGTCGGGGACAAAGCAAACAATGCCATTGTAACCGCAGGGCGACAAGTCGGATACTCTGATATTGAATTATGCCACACCTTTAGTTTGCTATTAAATGTTCCAATTACCTGACATGGAAAACAAAATAAAATTTATGCAGATAAATAAATCAAAACAACAAGATCAAATGTTTCCCACTGTACAACAGAACATGAAAGAAACAACGCTGAACACAGTCTCTCATGTTACAAGCGAGTCTGCAGGAATGACTTTTTGAGTCAATCCGTTTCCTCGTAGGACAGCTGCAAGCCAAGCTCCGGAGTTACCATCCAATGTTTTGCAGTCCGAATGCGTATCGCATGATTGAAAGCGCCGTTTGTTGTCGTTGAAAATGAAGCAGACAGAAGAAAGGAGAGAGAGTGGCTCACGACAGTCACAGAAATTAAAGTCAGCTGGCACGAGAGGGAAAAATAATTAAAAGATTTTGCTAAGTCCTTGAGAACATAATGGGAAGGGAGGTGCATTGTGAGAACAGGAAAAAAAAAAAAAAGAAAAAAAGAACAAGACGAGCAGATCATCAAGTGGGCCTTACAGGCACGAAGTTGAATAGAAGTCTGGGAGCTATCATGGGTGACGTCTACTCGAACCTGTTGCTGAAGTGACATCTTAGTCACAGTGTTCGCACCCGATGCGACCAAACAAACAAAATAAGCAGTCGAATCCCTTTTAAACGCCGCCGTGCGGTGTGCCCTTTTGCTTTTGACAGAGTGGAAGTCTTCCAGATCTTTCTGACACAAACTGTCAATGTTTATTCACCTGGAATGAGTCAGAACTTTCTTGTATTTTGAATTTGATGAATGCGATACAGCCCCCCCCCCCAAAAAAAAGCCTAACAGAGACATGTTTACCACTTCAAAGTGTTTTGAAACTGAGGATATCGAGTGCTGAAACTTTTTCGGTGGAATTCTTTCCTGTTCTTGCTTGTAAAATTTGAGTCGCGCAACAATCAGACCACATCTCCAACGCTTTGGCCTCCCACAATGCACCGCGCCAAATGGAAATGACGCCTTCTTTGGCAGGACAGAAAACGTTGGAAGCGAACGCTGACTCGGAATTTTCTCATTCGAATCCGAACGGTCAGAGCATATTGTCGTCAGAGGAATGTTGGGCCTGCACGTGCCGTTCTCCCGATGTCTGACGTATCTACGTAGGGGGGTGCAAATGCACAGAAGCCTTATACACTCGAAAAACTAACTCAAAAACACAAAATCCTTAAAACCGCAAGAAACCAAAGTAACAAACAATCGCCTATGACAGAACCACAAAACAACGTGACAGTAACAGAAACAAAAAAAAAAAAACATGACCCGACCGAGAGCTGGGAACTAAATGCAAGCAAACCAACGAGACAACAAGGAACACCTGGATAAGACAAAGGGGTTGAGGGAGCCGATTGGCTAACGCAAGGGACCCAGATGACAAGAACAGGTGGAAACAAAAACCAAACGAGGAAACCAAATCAAATGTATTCTAAACAAAAACAGAATGAGTAAGATGCAAAGTGGAGAGAGAGATAGTTCTCGTTGTAAACAGTAATGACTCAACGTAGCACAATTCTCAACCTTGGCATTGGTGTTGACACGGCTCACTCCCTTTTGGCACGCAATGTGGGCTAAGGAACATAAACAGGCTTGCGTCCGCCTCCACCCGAAGCTTACACACACGCTTCACATGTCTGATTCAAGAATGTCCCGCAACTTGGAGCTCAAGACAATTTGGCGTCGGGTTGAACTGATTCCGCAAAGGCCGTTGACTGAGCCACATTCGAGCAAAGCGAGACAAACGAATGCACAGGGGGGATCATTAGTCAAAATGGGAATGTGGAAATTGTCAAAAGGAGCATAGTGGCGAACTTGGGCTCGATTTACGGCCCATTGCGCGGGTCAAGTGGTACGAATGGGATATGCGTTGTGGCAGCGTAAAATGAATCGGATCGGAATCAGGCCTCTTCCAAATGCGAATAAAAACCCGACTGACATAAATGAAATTTGCTATGCAAATCCTGTTCACCAATCGATGACGTAGACGCACTTGCGTCTTCCCAAACATTTAATTAAACTAATTATAATCATGGGTTTTCGATGTAAAACAAAAGCGAACGCATAGACCAATTATACATGGGCCAAATATGCTACATGTGAGGTGTGTCCATCATTAAGTAACTGCCAATGGCTGCTTGTGGAGTGCCGTGGAGGTCACCTTCATTCATATTGAAGGGGAGGATGAAGCAACCCAGGGCAAATAATCACGAGATAACCTTTAGCATACTATTTGTCTGATCTCTGTTTTAAGATAACCTTTATTTGTCCCACATTGGGGGAAATTTGCAGTCTATTTATTGTTTATTTTCCTGTTGTCACTGCCCAGTAATGAGCCTTTTGGTGTTACTTGAATCCAGCCTTATATTTTGAGAAGGGGTCTTCTAAACTATCATGCACATTAGAATCAGTGGCAGTTCTAGATCAATTTCACTGAGGGGGCCTGGCTGGGGCCAGGGGTTTTGATCGAGGGGCACATTCCACGCAGGGCAAAAAAGACAAAGATTTGAAATCTTATTTGATTTTTTATTTTCATCAAACTTTTAAACCTTTGCAGACATAACATTACAGTGATAAACAGTATAATAATCACAGTAGTACTGAATTAAGTGCTGATAAAAGATTCATATAGGTGCAGATCTTGTGGAAGATACCCCTACTATCACAGCAACTGTATTCTGCGATGTTGGTGATTTCTGGCAAACCGTCCGAAGTGTTTCAAGATTCTCTGCTTTTGACTACCTAGACTCAATGCAAAGTACACCAAGATTACATACATACATACTGTACATACATACATGCTGATTTATTGCTTCATCTATCATCATTCATAGTGGACATGGGGTATGTTTTCCCAAGATTATATGCGGAAAAACTCCGTTCTGCATTGGCGGGGCTTCTTTACATTTGCTGATGTCTGTGGAGAAAGACAAACCGAATAGATGTAAACATAATTTTTGCATGGATACAGCATACACACTAACCTGCTACACTTACCGGTACACTGTTTAGGCACTCAGACCCACATAATTGTCTAAAATGTATTCATGAATGCTATTTATTAATTGCATGAATTAATGTATTTATTCATTTATTGTATTCAGTAAATATAAATTACCGGTAATACATTCTAAAGCCTCACCTGGGACTAACATTGCGAACACACTGAAGCTAGATGTTTTACATGCATCTAATTGTCCCAATTTAAAAAGGCAGTGTCTTATATATTGTTCCTGTTAATAAACTTTAAAAAATAAAAAGGGATATTAAAACACCCACACACACACACACACACACACACACACACACACACACACACACACACACGCACGCACACACACACACACACACACACACACACACACACACACACACTTGAGCAACACTACTGTTGTGGGCTTGCTTGGTTTTGTGTTGTGGTCTTACCTTGACAATATATCATCACTCGTCGTCGTGGTGATCTTGGGACTGCTTCTCTGGGGGCTACTTCTCCTCTTCGCGCTTGTCTTTTTGCAGTGGTGTAGCGCACTAAAAGGTCCGACTAGAATGTTAAACCAGGCACTTTAGTTCCACCTTTGGCGTCGGCGACTGGGCGCTATTGTATAGTCTACGTTCGGAGGGAGGTACACAGGGGGGTCCAGAATCAGTACTACTGGGGTACTGGCCCCTGTTGGCCCCTCCCCAGAACCGCCACTGATTAGAATGTAAAGAGACTTAGCTCAGAGCCTTGGATTATTTTTGTTGCTGTTGGTCTTTGGATTATGGAGAAAAAACAAAAAACAAAGGCAATGTGGAAAAACTGGATGTTGGTGTTTTTCTGACATCCATCCAGTTCTTCAATTAACCTCCAGAGGGTGGTTGAAGGTCTCCAACTTTCTTTCTGTTCAGCGACTATAGCCCCTTTCACGCTGCTTTCAAGCTTTGGATGCTCTCGGTTGCCGTTGAACCGTACTGACATGGTAAAACGGGATGGTTGAAGTCTGCGTGCAAATGTGACACCTGATACCCGTGTCTCACGTCCGACTGCATTCAAAGCAATTGGCATTGTCCTCTGAATAGTTCAGACATAACACCAGATGCTGGATTTTGCAATGAAGAAAAGTCAGATTGAGTCAATATTCTCTCGTAATACATCATAGACTAAAAAGAAGAAGAAAAAAAACATTGATAGCAAATGGGCAGAAAAAAATACAACATAATGCAATTAGGGAAATGACAGAGAAAGAAAAGAGAAAGAGCTCGGAAGTCCCCATGATTACCTGTGTTGCCAGTGTCATTATAGAGTAACTCGAGCAACTGGCACCCATTTAGATGCATTGTTTTCCCAAGCTAGCTGGCTGGGAATTTTTCCCCCCGCCCCCGCCTTACTGATAAGTAAGTGTTGACAAATACTGCATTTTTTTAATGGGTGAAGATGTTGCCATCATCTACGAAACAAAATAACAAACGGGTTTGTCAGACAACGTGAACAGTCGGCTGCGCTCCAGTCAGTTCGATCCGTCATCCGTCGGGTCGCCGACAGCGAGTTGCTCACAAGGTTTATTCGATCATATTCACTCGACATGTTGGCAGGTAATCAGTTAATCATCCATCATTTCTTCCCTCTTCTTTTTCGATATTGCCACATGGTATTAGTAATCTAAAGGATTTATGGTGGAATGTTGCGGTTAATCGGAGTTAAAGGGTTTAAAAAAAAAAAAAAAAAATCATTTATCAGGTTTACACAAGCATATCCGGAAATATTTCTGGAGGCCATCTGACGTATGGACGCTCATTTAGATAATATTAGAGCGCGTCTTATCAAACCGTGTTACCAGCTCAAACAACACAATGCCCATTTATTGACTCCCCCACCGCCACCACCCATCCACCCTTTCCCCTAAATTGCTGCAGATTTACCGGTATGCCACAAATGACTAACTCTAATTTTTGAGCTTGGAAATATTTAGATAAACACGAAAAAAGACAATAAGAGCTTTCGGGACAAATAGGCACATTTGACAAGAGGACGTTTTTCTGTCTGGGCTTGGTCTACTATCCGTGAATGTGGGTGTGCACGCGTGTGCGTCTTGTCAGCTGTTTTCACAGCTGAGTGCAGCGGAGAGGCCTTTCTGCACCTCTTGACAGACGGTTTGTAACAAGTCACGCTATTGTAGTCCTCACCTACAGGGTCTTTTCCAGTTCAAGCAAGTACTTTGCCGTTACTATGACAACCGGTCCACTTTGCACACAATACCTTGAATCATGAGGCAAAGGGAGTGCTGAATTCCTGATTTCGCCCGAGTTTTCTTCTTCATCATCGCTGACGGAAAAGCTCCATTAACCAATCTCGTGTGCACGGTGTTTATTTGATCAAGTTGAAAATGCCAAGCCAGAAAGAGAAAGATGGAAGCAATAAGGGGAAGCTTATTACCGGGAAGTCGCAATGCCGGCAGTCAAAGTTCAGCTACACACAGAGTGGAAGTGTTTTAACTTCATTTGAAAAAACCTACAAACAAACAAAAAAACGTGAGGAAAAAGTTTTAGAAAAACTTTAAAATCCGAACGACTGACATCAATGGCAACAATGCTTGTATGCGCAAAAAAAAACAAAACAAAAAAAGCCTTTTTTTTTGTCCAAAAGGGACAACTATTCTGCAAACTCTCTTTGTTGTGAAGGGCAGGAAAGACAATCTTCACAACGACACAACCGAAAACATTTCGTTGAATTTCCCAACTGATAAATCTTTTCAAAGTTTGTTGCCTTGAAATTGACGGTGTCGTTTTGCACTCGAAAGGAAAAAGACCAGAATCATACAGTCAACAATTTCATGTAAAACTCAAGTGTGTGTAATTTACAAGACATTTTGCTTACAGTGCCAAAGGTTTTGGCCACCTTGGTACTGGAGCTTTGTTGTTTCACTTCACTTTGAAAGCTACAAATTTAAAAAGACAGACCCTGCTAGAAACATTAAGCACATGCACACACACTAGCGCACAAACACACACGCACACACACACACACACCCACACACACACGCACACGCGTGCACACACACACACACACACACACGCACACACACACACACACACACACACACACACACAAATGTATTACAGGTTTCGACCTAACTTTGGAGCATCATTGTGAGGAGGAAGCCATTCAAGTTTAGTGAGGCTGAGGAGAAATTGTTTATTTTCAGTCAATATGGTATTAATAACCTCCTCCCCCCCTCCACCCGCCGCAGCAACAGTAAATAAAACCCATTGATTGCAAGGCCGCAACACCACCAACTAGCCTGGAAAAACAAAAAGCCAAGAGCCTTGGCAGAGGTCTGCATTCTACATCATGACATTCTCGTGGTCAATTGCAAAAAAACAAACAATCTAATGCGACCTAACACGTTTGCATTTTACTGTATGGGGATTAAAAACTTAAAAGCAGTTTTTCTCGCAAGCCATATTTGTCAAACTATTTATGAAAGTCAAATAAATATTAAAAATGCACCGTTGAAGACAGACTTTGGTCGTTTCAGTTGCGGTGACACAGCTAGGGTGTGTCTACCTGCCCCTTTTTCAGATGATTTTATGCCATTTTGGGGCAAGAGAGGGGAAAAGTAAGGTTGAAATATCACGTTTCTAAACTTGCACAGTAATAACTTGGACGCAATAACGCAATGTAGTGAATACAAAAGAAGGTTCAACAGCAACAACAAAACAAATTGATCGGATCCTGTTGATCCTTTACTCATTCCATTCATTAAATGGCTTCGCATTTGGGATAGTGTCGGTAAACACCGATTTCACGTTCTGTTTTGACAAACCGGTGAAAGTAAATACACAGCCATATACTCACACAGCAGCAAGCGCCACTCCGATTGTTTCCACATCTACAAACACGGTAGAGAAGTGTCATTGTATCATTGTATGATATAAATAAATGGTTTATTTACGTTTGAGTTAATGGCTTCTAAAAGTGCTTATCTAAACATTTTCAACACAACGCCTCCGTGAACACCTAACTGCACAGCGCCCCCTGCTGGATCCATGTCCTCTGGTTGACTTGTTTATTCATTCATTTGTATCTGACAGAGATCGAATGGTTATTAAATACATGTAACGAACAGAATGAAGTTACCTTCATTCAAAACGTTTTCACATTTAGAGATAAAAATGTCAATTTGTCAAACTTGGTGCATTCAAGAGTTGGAAATGCCAAGAGGACAGAGGAGCCTATCCTAAATGACTTGGGGCAAAAGTCAAAAAATGAGAGAGAGAGAGAGAGAGAGAGAGAGAGAGAACCATTGCCACTCACATATACGCTGACACTGAATGGCAACTTTCCGAACATTTACACTGTAGCTTGTCAGAGATGCAAAATAATCATCGCAGTACTTTGCTTATACTGTACAAATATTTAGTCGCGATACAGCGGTTGCCTATTCAAATTGGTGTAAACATAATACGAAGTACTTCCATATGTCAATCAAGTTTTCAGAATCTATTACACCATCTCTGCACTGTATTTTTTTTAAGTTGGGTGAACTCAAAATTTTAAGTTGATGAATTCAATGAAATGTTTAAATTCTTACTGTTGTGAGAATTGTGTTTCACAACAAAGAAATAAGACTTTACAGAACGATTGCTCCTTTTACAGCACTTAAAAATAAACAACTTGCTAGCATTGTTGCGCAAACCGACATTGTTGCCAGAAATGTCATTGTAGATTTTTACGTTTTTAAATTACTGTTTTGTCCCCCTCTCCCTCCCAAAAAACAAGTTGTGTTTTGACAATGTGCCCTTATGAGGGGTGTATTTTGTCAAATATTCTAGAAATGTTGTTTCAAATTTAAATGATTCCAGTCCAGACAATCCAGACGATGAAGCAAAACACGACTAAAACTAAAGACAAGTGTGAGTACACTTTCACGAAGCGTAGCACACAAGTGTGCAATTCATACGGTCAGAACTGCGTAGCTTATGACTAATCTCCATTATCACACAGCACATGAGCATTCCATGGCCAGATACACTGAAATGACGATCGCACTGACGTTCTGCAAAGCGTTTAATCCGGCAGCGGGGTGTTTCCCCGTCGTATCAGTCTGCGCGTGTGTTGTTCTAACCGAGGTTGTTTAAACCTGTACGCCGTAGTTAAAATACATTCCCTCGCAGCAGACTTCATATAAAAGCAGGACAGAGCACTCTAAAGCTCCTGTAATGGAAGGTCAATATTGGTATGCAGTTTTCATTTTCACGCTCGACATGGTGCACTTCAGGCCGAGCGCCGCATTACGGCCTGCGGTCGCTTAACGCGAGGAGTTCTTGAATTTGGAACACAAAAGGAGGTGGAGTCTTGTACATATGTCGTCGTCGCTTCTCACATCTCGCGTTTGCATTAAAATTGATATTTTTCTATTTTGACCTACAACTCTCGATAATCAACGATCTTTGAGATATTTTGGATATTTGGTTGATGGAGAAAAGTGCGCAGTAAAAAGAAAAATAATTATGCGGCAAAAACAGTCACCCTAGAAGAATATATATACAGTATATATATTATATATATATATATTTTTTTTTTTTTTACAGAAGTCATTTGAGAACTATTTTCTTTTTTTGAAAAAAAAAAAAGAAAAATAGTTAATGTGTTGATAGAAAATAAACTGCTCAGAATAAGATTTTTTTTAGGATATTGCATCATATTTAAATCTAAAGTTTTTAGCAATTTGTGAAGAAAAGAAAATGCAAAATTGGACACAAGTGATGATTAAAAAAAAAAAAAAAGGAATCAAATGAACTTGTACAACCCCCCCCAAAAATTGTCAATTTCATAATACCAATTTATTTTCTTGAAAAAGTATGCTCGTTTTCAATGTGGGCTAAATTCTCCTCTGTACAACCCAACAAAGTTTCCAGAAATATCATCTCGGGGTGGCATGCTGACATTAGTTGAGGGAAGGATACTGCGCGCTTTTCCAGATCCCGTAACCCCTTTGCCTTTTTCCTGGCGCCACCAACCAATGGCATAGTATCGGCCGCTCCTGAGCCATTTACCTCTCCAAACATCAGCTAGCTTAAAACGCGATGAGAACACAAGACACCATCTGCTAAACATAATCACCCACCTTGGTTAGAACAAATCTGTCCGAGCAAGGCGCGAACCACCAATGACATGCGTCTTATTGTCTTGAGTAGGAACATTAAAA